CATCATAAAATATAGTCCCCTCGGGTCCGGAGTTGGACAGAGCTGCTTTGGTTTTGCTAGCTCCCTGTTGGGCTTCACCAGGAGCAGCGGAGGCGTCACGGGACACGGATCTCCGGTCCATCTTCCCCCCGATCATCGGCAGGAGCTCCACGCCCGGAGACAGATCCGAGAAGCCGTCCGTGGGCTTCAGGGTCCGCAGCCCCATCATGGCTCCAAAGAGAAAGAGCGTAAAGAGAAACAGAGCTATGCAAGCTTTCCTCCGTAGTCTTGCCATGTTTGTCAGGAGTAGCAGAAGCTGCAAACTGCGTGGATGGGAGCGCAGATAAACCTCTCGTTACTGATTCTGCTTCCTATAGTTCACCTCACAACCTACGGGCTACTCTTCAAAAGTGTATTGCATGGTAACTGCAAATGTCATATTCTGCTGGATGATTAACCAAAACAAACTAGCTACATGGTTGCAGTCTAGTCACAGCAGACTATCTGACGCAGTTTGCTTTTAGATCTCTAACTTTCTTCTGCAGCTTCATGGTTTGCATTCTGCTAAACTGCGTAGTGAAGCCTGTGAGGAAACTCACTTTGCTAAGCGCTTGTTACGCACTTTACAATGGGAATAAATAAGCAAATCTATAACGTGTTCTCTCTACAGCTGATGGGAGACTTTCTTGAAAAATGCTATATTTTAACGATGCATCCGGACAGCAGTTGCCGATGCCGTTTCCATTCAAACGCTACACTCACTGATCTCCAAACTGTCAATCCTCCAGCTGGCTGCAGAGTCCCACCCAGCAGCTGATCCCGGACAGGCGAACGGTGTTGGGATGCAGACTTTGAGGCTCTCGGGTGATGCTATCCGGTGAATGATGCTATCCGGTGATGGTGTCCGGGGGACTGTCCAGCCTCCGTGGTTGGTTAGTTTCTGCTCCACACAGTGCGTTTAGGATATCAAACAGGCGGGGCTCATCTCATCTCTGTTTTGCTTTTTGTAAGTGGCTGCAAAACCATGCGCATACACAAATCTATAGAAACAAAAAATGTAAGTGTTGTCTGCGCACAAGCTACATGGTACAGCCTTTATACCATTATGACTCTTAACAGAGACTAATCTCTTTAGCACATCACACGCTGTCAATTGTGAGAATTGGTTTTCACGTTTATGTGTTGACTACACAGTGAGTTCAGTTATACTGACATCTAGCGGTCAGTTCATAAAACACAACGATCAGTGTTGCCTTCAGGTACTGCCGGGATATAGAAGTCTAGATGCTGTGATGTTTAGTTTAATATGCAGAGAGATAAGTACTCAGATCTAATGGGAATACTCTCTCACAACTAAAAGTCCTTCAATCAAAATGTGTCTCAAGTACAACAATTGGCATCAAAATGTACTTAAAGTACGAGGAGTAAAAGTACTCATTGTGCCATTTCAGAATACTACTATATTATATATTTTTGATTATAATTATTGATGCATTAAAGTGTTATACAAGCTGGGAAATGTGCAGCTAGTTTTAATGACTTTGTATACTGCAGGGTAGCTTGTGAATTTACTCCAGGCGTTATTCAAAAAAAGTAACTAAAGGTGTTAAATAAATGTAGTGGAGTAAAAGCACAATATTCACCTCTGAATTGTAGGGAAGTAGAAGTGCAAAGTAGCATACAATACGGAAGTAGAAAAACTGTTGAAAATATTACTATTAGTAATAATGAAAATATTAGGCTACTATTGAGTGATACAAGCGGCCGAGATGGGTTTTCTCCGCAGGGTGGCTGGTGTCTCCCTTAGGGATAAGGTGAGAAGTTCGGTCATCAGGGAGGGACTCGGAGTTGAGCCGCTCCTCCTTCGCGTCGAAAGGAGCCAGTTGAGGTGGTTCGGGCACCTAGTTAGGATGCCACCTGGGCGCCTCCCTAGGGAGGTGTTCCAGGCACGTCCAGCTGGGAAGAGACCAAGGGGTAGACCTAGGACCAGGTGGAGGGATTATATCTCTTTGCTGACCTGGGAGCGCCTTGGGATCCCCCAGTCAGAGCTGGTTGATGTCGCCAGGGAAAGGAACGTTTGGGGCTCTCTGCTGGAACTGCTACCCCCGCGACCCGACCACGGATAAGCGGGAGAAGATGGATGGATGGACTATTGAGTGATTTCAAATAATGTTATTAATATTATTGTTATTATCATTAATTTATTTTTTGATCGAAAGCATTTCTCAATGTATTCTGTATTTATGACTTCTGGCAGAACACGATGCTGGAGTTTAGAAGGATTCCTAGAAAGTAACATCGGCAGAAGGACCTCCTGCGGTTTGCTCTCATTCATATTGCCTAAAGGAAAGCAATGTTAGTTAAAAAAAAAGAAGTAATTTAATTAACAAGAGACAGTCATCTTTGCAGTTAATAACTCATTGAACCCTGGCTGGAGTCCAGCAGGGAGATATTGGCTTCAAGCCAGAATAATCTGAGGCAGCACTTCAAATACTAACCCCTCCACTGAAAATGATCCGGCTCATGATACTTCATTAGAGTGTACTTAAATTGTCTACTGAGCAGTTTATTATAGGCATACAATGTTATATATTCGTGCAACCAAAGTTTTTAGTGTATATGGTGTTAGGCGTTTAATTAAATGACTGACATTTTCGGAGGTTTGTCCAAAAAACTCCATCCCATTGTCGAGCAAATTGTTGATGAAGGACACATGAAGTATGATACCAAAATGTATAATAATGTAGCGTAAATATACAGCTTTTATAATGTGAAGTTTGGTCTTACAATTCTAAATTATGTATGTTTATCTCCAAAAGATGCAAAACTTGAATAGATTATAGATGGATCGTTTTTTTAAATCTTCTTACTTACTTGGTTAGTTAATTGTTTTATTCACAGAGGTACTTTTAAAGCTTCAAAAACTGCAGGATCAACAAGATTTTTATAATATGCCCATCGTTTTTGAGATTTAAAAATACCTCATGAAAAGAGCTTTTTAAATGTCACCATCTCATAATAGAATGCCAGTTTCCCAAACTCATAAAAACGACTTAATTTCTGGTACAAATCTATATGTTGATTTGCGTGGTTAGAATCGGCTAAATAACACACTTGTTTTAGCTTACATTTTTATAGGGAAGCCTGTTTATAAACATATTTGTATTCAAAGATGTTTGTATTTTTCAAGAGAGTTTATTGAGCACTACTTAACACTTTGGCGTTGTGCATTTCTTTGATTTATACTTTTGTCATTGATCTAATGTGGTAAATGTAGTTCTGTCGATGATGTAATGTTTGGAGCCACAGATCGGTGTTTTGCGGGTCCACAAGGGGTCGTTGTGTACTTGTGATGAAATCGACAGGTCACCTCTGAAACACCCATCAGGCCGCACACAGAGGTGGAGCTGTTTTCATTCACCAACAAATATTTTTTTTAAAAGACTGATAACTGGTAAAGTTAAGTAAAAATAATTGTATCACGGCAGCTAATTGTAACTAATTGAACTGAAGGTCTTTCTCCTTCTCACAGGAGGACAATTAGACTAAACCTCTTATTTAATAGGATTTAATTATCCGAAAAAAACGTGTTTTGGTATAATCAGAACCAATTAGTATTCCCAAAAATATGTATGTTTCCTATCTTGCTTTATATTTCCATTTTATTATAGTTATTTAATGCCAGCTGTAGTTGTTTTTAATCAGCTCACTCTTATATGTTTTAGTAAATGTAAAACATTTTAGTTAGGCTACATGTTGGTTATTTCGTAGCTGGATGGTTTTCTTTCAAGCTTGGTTGTGAGATCACTTTCCTGTGTCTTTGATTCATCCATCACTCCACAAGGACACGAGTCAACATCTTTACGTGATGCATGTGATCAATCACTATCGATCCATGAATTCGTTTGGCTAGTTTGGCTTGTTTACATGCTGCCATCTTGTATTTTGGGGAGTAAAACAAAATATCAGTTATGTATTCGTTTTTGTCTTGTTTAGTTCAAGTTAACTTTCGTTTTCTTGTATATTTGAAGCTCTTGGCCTCGGAGGTTTGAGTCAGTTTAGCTGCTTCTCCGCTCCTTCCTGGGAGGACAACACTTCCCCCCGCCATGTTTCATCTGGATTAGCATTACAAACCTCTGTGGCATGTTAGGACAGCAGCCCACTGATAGCATAGAAACAAACGCAATCACGACGAGAAACAAAACACGATATTACATCAAGCACACTTTTGTTTATTAATTGCCATGAGTGGAACACATAACATAAGAAAATGGACAAAGGTGACTTGCAATAAATCATATTGTAAAGATAATTAAAACCCATATTAAACCAAATCAGTCTTACAAAAACCCTGTCGGTTTCAGGTTTATTCCCTTCGTATTCTCTACGTTTTGATCACACTTCAAAGGATGTAAAATGTCTTATTTATTTCTGCCTATTTCCGTGATATGATTTAAACATTTATCTATTGGGTGTTGGACATTGAGAAATACCTTTCAAGGAGGTGTAACTTGTTGTATACAGAAATAAGCCCTGTCCTTCAACCACATTACTACAAATTGTGATTTTCAAACAAAAGGGTATTTTGTAAAAAATATTTAAGACACTGTATCTTCCTGAGAGTCTCTTAAAACTGAAAGAAATACCATTAAAACCCAAGTATTTTCGTGAGGAGTGTTGGTCACTTCCCACATCTGGGCCCTTCTATCACACAATATCCAATACATCCTTGGGGAATACAATTGTGAATCACGTGGACATGACCGAGAGTATGTGGGGGGTTTGTTGGATGAGAAATGGTCATTTGTATTGACCAACACACCGAGCTGACCACTGCAGAAGAGAGAGAGGAGGAAAAGGCTTTGCAAGAAAGAAAGAAAGACACCAGGAGTAAACTGGCCCACAAACATGGCAGAAGGTATGTTGGGAGCTTTGGGGTGGAGTTATCTCTTCTTGCATTGTTTTACAAGTTTTTCCTTTTTTTGAGGGGGGGATTCTTCAGTAAAAATCCTGCCCGATGACCCCCACCCCCTCCACCTCTCATTGTTTAGGAGGAATAGGTTGCCAGCCCCCTTTTGTTTACCTCCCTCTCCCGCTTTCCCTCTCACTGCGCAGTTTCTGGCTTTAGCTGCATTTTGCATGAAAGTGGCAATCTGTGAGGATTACCCAGTTTGAGGGCTAGAGAAAAAGTATACTGTAGCTTGAGTGCTTATTTTGACTCAAGGCAGAACTGAAGACATGGGCTCCGTTTCAAACCAGGAATTCCCAGGTGGAGTAACAAAATAAACTGCTTTTTGCTGTTTTTGTACGAGTTAATTAACTTGTTTTCTGACGGGGCTTTCGCTACCTGATTGTAGTGGAGAATTTAAAAGGCATTGTTCATGCACGTGAGGGTCGATACGAGCGACTATCGATAGGTTTTGTAGAGATTATTACATCCTGCAAACCCTGTAAATCGCCTTTTTAGCTCAGAAAAATGGGATAGTCATTCAGAAATAATGTTGTTTAGTTGCTTTTATGACATTTGTGATGATCGAAATTAAGCCAAAACGCAGCCTCAGCTTGTTACTACTTTCATTGATTTGTATTGATTGGTGATGCAGCGACGCGAAAGAAAGGGGAGAAAAGTTTCACTATTGAAATTAAGCCTTTTTTTGGAAAACAGTATTATTTTAAGAGATAAATAAGTAGGTTTTTAATTAATAATGCTTCTTTTTTATGTATTGCAGGAGTGTGTAAACCCGAGGAGGATGAAGGACCGTGCACCGAGGAAGACTGCCAGTCTTTCCACGGAGTCGGCGTGTGCAAATGGTTCAACGTCCGCATGGGCTTCGGGTTCCTGTCCATGACGGACCGGGAGGGAGTGCCTCTGGAAGAACCGGTCGACGTATTTGTCCATCAGGTAGGATGACTTTATCTCGGTGCCTTTTGAAAATTGTGAAATTCAATGGCCGGAAACCCCAAACTGGAGATGCATCTCAACATTGCAAAAAAAGTATCAACACCTAGGGAGCTGAAAATCCACTTTTAAGTGAGATTTCCAACCAGCAACAGTGAGATCATCCCACCCGTTTCTAATACAGATAAATGTGTGGTTTTTTTTGCATTGTTGAAACTAGTCAGTAGTCACCAATGAGTCATTAGTCCTTGAAAAACGATACCCAAAAAAATAGCCATGTTAAGTTAACCGAAAACCTAATACTCAATACCCAATGAAGGTTGATTCAAGTTAATTTAAATGAGATGTTTTAACCGGGTGTTGTTTGTAGTGTGGTGGGTGTTTCTCCATCAGGGAACACGTGTTGCAGCCAGAGGAGATCTGCCGGACTCCCTCGTGATTTTTTTTATGTGAGGTAGAAACCAACTTGTGGTTAGAGCTTGCACGCTCCAATAGGCTGGCATCAATGCTTATAAGATGGTGAATATAGATCTCAGTGAGTGCTGTGTGAGCTGCATGAAAACTGCTCTTTTAAGAAGAAGGAAACGTTCAATTGATCCTCTCCTGATGCCATTTCAACATCGATATAACTTAAGCATTTGTTTGGAAAATGAGGAGTAGATTTCCCATTTAGCATTACATCTTTTCACAAAGTGGAAGCTTTTCAAATTAGTCATACATTGTTTGACCTCAGTGAAAAGGCACACTATCTCCACATTGATTATTGACCACTTATTTTTAAACGTTAGAATATGATTAGACACACACACACCTTTGTCTGGCAATATTAATGATTTTGCCTTTTATATGTCTTCACCAGGCTAACAATAATTTCACATTTATGTATGTATGACCACCCTGATGGTATTTTGTGGGCCAAATCTAACTGTGAATGTTATGGTTGGTGATGTTTCCACTCAAGGTTTCATTGTTTCTTTCTCAAATTGAAGAGATAAAAGAAAACTTCTCGGTTCATCCAAATTTACCCAACGCCTTCATTTACCTTCTTACATACCGAGTGGGAGGTAGAGAGCTTTGGGGGGTGGGGGTGTATTTCCCCCCTACTTCTCATGTGGGTGAGCGTCTCCATTGCTGTCTGATAAGATAAAAGCTTAGCATGTGAATGAGAGGAGTCCTCACTAGCTGCTCATTCACCTCAAGGTTCCTGTCATAAAGTGATTAAAGGCCCTTTGATGTCTGCTCAACCCCCTCAGTGTGTGTGGCATCTGTTATACTAGCTTTAAAGAGGAAAGAAGATATCAGGGTTTATTTTAGGTAAATGTCCCTTGGCCACACCAGGCCATGACCCCCCAGGACCTCATGTTGTGGGGACATTTGTCTCCCACAGTGCCCTTTTTTTTATTAAAGATATCACTTTATATGCTATATATATCCTTATGAGGTTACATTTTAGTCTTAAAAAACCTGCATTTTGAAATTTAAGTGGAAGCCAGTTTCCCACTCTTACTCATCTCTGTGTTACAGGCTCTCTGCTTTTGATGATGCATATTGAGAAATTGCTCTTTGCAGCCGTTGTAACTGGAATATTATTTGACTATACTCAGGAAGTGGGTGCCTGATTAATCATAATGCAAATCAAAACATGAGTTCAACACGAGACAGAAACCTACAGTTTGGTGCCCAGGTAGTTTAACAAGAAAATTGAGATGCACAAGATGTTCTACTAGAAGTGAACAGTCATTATTTGCATCTCTACAAAAAACTTCAATTTCTTTGATGAAAACAGTTGATTTTTGCTTACATTTAAAGTGAAAACGGTTAATTCTCAGCAATAACCCCACACTGTGCTCTCAATATATTCACAAGAAATGGGCAACTAATGACGTACTTCCATCTCTGTCACTGAAAAAGGAAGAGAGACGCGTGTCAATGATAGATGCTGCGAGGTAATGGCAACGTAAAATGCTTCAACCCTAAAATTAGTGGCCACGTGTCCAGGAAAATGAACTCCCAGGGTCCTCTGGCCTTTGTGCAGGTGGACAATAGAGCCATGCATCCGAATGAAGCACCCCTCGGCCGTGACCGAGCCCCTCTTTGTCTCAGCAGCAGCCCTGCTTTTGTCCCCCTCGGCTCTGATGTCTTTCTCTGCGTCACTTGGCTTCTAGACACATTCTGGGAAAAGGTTAAAGTTTACAGTAGACCTCCTAAAATACACCTGAACATTGCATAATTGAAGTTAAGCCCCTCTACCTGCACTGTGTGTGTGGATAACCTGATGTGGCTATTGAGGGTCTGTCATGGGGGTGGGGAAGGTCACACATGGAAGAGGAAGTGGGTTAACGGTCACCAAAGAAGAGAGGCCTGATGGGATTGAGGCTTTGTGGACGTCCTTGTTGTCACTCAGATGTCATGGCTCACTACTTTTGCAGCAGATGCTCACAACTGTCGCAGGATTAGAAAGGACGGTGCTTTTGTTTGGTTTTGTTTTCTAATTGCATACAACATTAGTAGTTATTATCTTACCCCCTTGTATCCTTTAATTACTAAACCGTCCTACAGGATCCTTCTGTTGGATTCAGTTTAAAGCTAAGCCTAGACTATCTTCACATCAAACTGGATGCTTTGAGAAGATCATTTTGATCTCCGGTGGTTTTGATAAACACAGAGTGCAGCTCATCGTTCATGATTAGAAGTATGGATGTGACTTTACTCAAAAATGAGATAAAGAAAATGGGATTATGTTTATCAAAACAAACCTGCTACATCATAGATCTTCATTCTTGTGTAAACAGCTTCTATAGTTGTGACAAATTAATCTCACAACCCCACCAAGGGAATTTCAGAGAGGGGTTTCCCATGTTTTGATAACCAATCTGAGTTTTATCCTTAAAACTGCTCCACACCTTCCCTTCCCTTCATCATGGTTTGAAAGTATGAAAACCTCAAAGGTCAGTTCAGGTGAACATAGTCTCAGTGAATATGTAACTTAGCAGGAGGCAAAGTAAATGTTCACTATAAGCAAATGCAATAAAATCATGTCATTCATTTCCCCAAAAAATGTTAGCCATTCACGTTCTGTTATCAAAGGAAGATATCAATCAATTGTGCTTTCCCTTTAACTTTTATCTTCCACGTCTTTCTGCCAAACAACTATCCAAGGAATGTCACCCTGACCCCCAACCTCCCAGAGAACCACGCTGCCTTCTCACCCCACCCCCAACCGCTGCACTAACCCCCGCATCCTGCAGTTTAGGGTTAGTGGTGGTGGTCAGTGTGTTAGTGGAGCTTTGTGATGTGGGTGGGAAGAGAGATGGGGTGGGGGCAGCAGTGAGGAATGCCGTTCCTCCGGAGGGGGGATGGGTTGAAGGTTATCCTCGTCAGGTTTACCACTCAAACACTGCAAAAAGACAATGCAGCATTAAGAGAACAGTGCCTTTTTATTCAAGTTATAGTGTGTGTGTAAATATCAGTAGAGAGGGAGGGGGGAGACATCAAGCTTTGTGGCGTTTGTTTATCAGGTGGGACATCATGATCACATTAAAATACCTGATAAGTCCTGTAGGGCTCTGATGGTATCACTCAGCTAGGAATGGGTGGGGGGTTGCTCTAAAGTATTCACAGGCTCAATGGGGGGTGATTTGGACACTGGTTGGTCATATGGCAGTTTCTGAAAAACACAATCAGTTCTTTACATATATTACAATAAGATCAATTTCATGGGAAAAAGCCATAGGTTTCGGTAAACCTCAGTCACCATTACACGTAATAAAACCCCCACCAAACAATATTTTTAATGCTGAACCCTTTTTCTTGTCTCCTTTCAGAGCAAGTTGCACATGGAGGGCTTCCGCAGCCTGAAAGAAGGCGAAGCGGTCGATTTTAGCTTCAAGAAGTCATCAAAGGGCCTGGAGTCGCAGCAAGTTACCGGGCCCGATGGCATCCACTGTGTGGGCAGCGAGAGGAGACCCAAAGGCAAGAAGGTCCAGAAGCGACGCTCAAAGGGAGATAGGTAAGAAAGTGGAAAAAACCTCTATTTATCTAAAACAAATCTGAATCAAATGTGGAGATGTATGATTTTCATTGGCCAAGAAACGATGACTCACCTTTTACATTGGACACCCTTAGAGGCTTTATTTCTCAGGAGTCTTCAAACATGTAGACTCTTTGTTGTTTCCAGTTGGGATCGGATATACGACGACGTTTTCGTTTCTCCCCATTTTGCTTCCTCTTCCTCAACCCCCAACCCCCACCTCTAGCCCTAGCAAGGGTCACAGCAGCAGGCTTGACATGTGACCTGGATCAATAACTGTTTAAATCTGCTGGCCCCTGGTGAATTCACACCCACTGACTCTCTCTCTCCCTTCCTCAACCACAAATGTGATTTGTTACTCCGAAACCAATCTCATAACAAAGAAGATTATCTTAATTTGAATAATGTGAAAAAATCGTCGAGTGTTTGCTTAGTTATTTTATCAAGTATACCAACTTTATGTTGTGGTCATTCCTCATCACGGCAAAATACGTGCTTTTACAAAATATTTTAATTTGATCTGAACCTAGTTTAAAGTGTTCCTGGTGGTGATCAATCTGCAAAGATACATTTTTGAAGCATTTCTTCTGAAGATGCAAGGGTTTCATGCAAAGGCAACATTGTCGGCCAAGTGAAAGAAAGTAGAGCCACAGGGACCTTGATTCTTAGGTCCTTCTTTGAATATCGATGTAGGGTTAGAGGTGTATCAACTTCACCTCTCTGTCAGTTGTGATTAGAGCCAGAGAGTAGCCGGTGTGAGAACAGAGATCATTACCACCTCAAAGAGTCCTGGGAGGCCTGCTGTGGCTCAATACCTCTCCCTGGACCACACTGATCCATGGATAAGATATCGTTCCCCTATAGCGTATTTCAATATGCAACTGGATTTCATTGGTTTGTGATTGATTGATCAAGACCATGGATCTCTTTTGATACAAGGGTGGTTTTGCCACCACCACCATCAAAGTGAACAGCTGTTTTTCCGTCCAACATGTTATAAGACCACCTTTGTGAGTGCTTGTGTATATATATGAGTAAGGGTGGGGAAAAAAATCTCCTGTCCATTTAATTGATAACAGATGTAAGAGCCCGGGCGAGGGGGTGAAAGGTCACTGCTACCATGGCAACATCGTATGAGTAAATGCAAAGGAGGGACTGGGGGCTGGGATGGGATTGGGGGGTTAGAGAAGTAAGGAGAGGGCGGGGAGGGCAGGGTTCAGAGGTCATTACTGCAGCTTTTTTAGACAAAGGGACCACTTCCCCTTCCCTCCACTTTCCTCCTGATGGATGCTGATGTGGGGAGCTTCTGTGAAGTGATGGTTTAGACCTTCACACCGGCCCCAACAGCCACACTGACCCCTCAGCAGCCGCCCCGTTCAAACATCATCTGCTACTACAATGGTGGCAGGGGGTCCGCAGTGGCACAGAGTGATCACCCCACGCCCATCTGTCTTACGCCCCTGCACGCGTGGCCATTCTTTAGTGTTATGTTTGAACAGAGGTTGGTCGATGGCCCCCGTGATGGCTCCCGCTGACGCCTTTATAGTTGTCCATTTCTAAAGTTCAATGCCAATGAAACACATGTCTTACTTTGGTACAATGGAGGCCAACGGAAAGCTTTCTGCAGTGACACACTGACAAATAGGACAAGCTGTTAGGGATACCTTGAGTAAATGAGTCATGGTAACCATACCAGGTCCATGTAATAAGAGACTTGCCAGTTAATTATTGCATAAGACTATAATAGTCCACTTAATTGGTCAACTTTGGAGAAAATCTTCTTGCTTTTAAGGATTCAAATGAAAAAAAATGCGCCATTTGGTCACTTTCTCATGTTTTTAGACCTTCTGTAGTAGCTTGCTCCTCCTCTGAGCTGTGTGGTGCGACCTGAAATGCCCCTTGCAAGATTTATGTCAATTCATTCCAGGTGAAATGTGGCCATCTAGTGGCAAAAAGGAGCATCTTGAAATCCCCCTCTACTCAAAATCGTGTTTTGGTTATTGTTTATTCATTTGGATGTTTTATATTTACTGTGCACTTTCACACTAGAAAGCTGGTTTTGAGATGAATTTGCTGAAGATTAGTTTGGAAGCCAATCAACATTCAATACTCAATGTGTCCAAATACTGTTTTGAGGTAGCACATTTATTGAATATAGCTATTATTAATTACAGTTTCAAAATGTATTGAAGCATTTGGGATTTCAGTGACAATGGTGTCTGGTTAGCAATCAATTTAATGTAGATGTTTTGTGTTAAGACTAAACGCCTTTGTGGGCAACCCAAAAAAGCCACGAGTGACCTATGAGATTGTGACGGGGTTCTAATTGTCCGTTCGAAACACGGCTTAGTCGGTTGTTTTAAGCTAAAAAAAACTTTATTTATAACAGCAATGAAGAAATAACGAAACAGCACACCTTAAACAAACAAAATAAAAGACCAAAACAGGCCTTCCATCACTCATCAGAGTAAACATGTTCTGTTGCCTTCTCTGCAACAAACTCCCAAACATGTCCCAGCTGTTGCCTTTACTGCAACATTCTTCCGAGTGATCCCTTCCAGGGCCAAACTCCGTCCCTTTTGAGCCCATAGCCCCTCCCACAGGTATACCGTCAACAGGTGACACAATTAGCTCAAAACCACACTGTCAAAATACACATCCGACCCAGGATGTTAACAGGTTAACCACCTCTTAACATAATCATTCCCCATAATTAAGAAACGCAAAAATAAATAAGAAATTGCATGGTTCATTGCAGGAATTTAAAACACGGAAGTGATGCGCCTCCGTCTTTTCTCCGAAATGTTTGGTGTGTGTCGGCTGTCAGTGGCGGAGTCAGTCACTCATGTGATCCGCTCCGTCACAGAGATTAACTGATTAAAAAGTGTTTTGACCCCTAATAGCATACAAATCCAAGAGGTATATCGCTGAGGCTTACAATGTCTTGCATTTGAGCGGTCAACCCAAAAGATTCACTCCCTGGCTCACCTGGCTTCTCTTTCAATGCCAAAACGGGTACCAAAACCACCGAGCCAATAAACGACATTCATACAATTAACAACTGTGACTTCTAGGAGGTGTTTCTTTATATTTAAAGGTTGGTTGTAGGAGGTTGTTTTAGTTTCCCATGGCTCTATAGGACCTTTGTAAAGCTGTAAAAGACAGATCAGAGCAGTATTTAGCAGCTAAAGAGTCAGATATTTCCTTTTAAGAATAAGATGAAAAACTGAGATAAATTAGAGTGAATATTGGCCTCAAAATGACCAGGTGGCCACCAATAAGTCTCTAAATGAGTACAAATGTTGTTCTATAGAACTTGTAGTTTGTTATTTCATCCTAAACCCCTGTAATGATGTCTCTATTGTGTTCAAAGCTTCTTTTCCACAACCCCCAAAGTGGCCAAACAATACATTATTGCATTCTCAAGCACACAGTACATGCAATTTATTTATTGCTCTGTTCTTGTTGTAGGTGCTATAACTGTGGAGACCTGGACCACCATGCCAAAGAGTGCAAGTTGCCACCCCAGCCCAAGAAGTGCCATTTCTGCCAGAGCATCGACCACATGGTTGCCAACTGCCCAATCAAAGCACAACAGTCGTCACCAGGATCTCAGGGAAAACCGTCCCCCTCGAAAGGAGACAACGTGGAGGAGGAGGAGCACAGCCTCGCGGCACCCCCTCCCGAAGCCTCTGATTAGGCGAGTTATCGGGGAAGAGCAGAGGCCAATCAAACTGCTTCGATGGTGAGACGGGACACATGGATCCCCTTCCACCTGTCGAAGCTGCTTTTGAAACTACCTCAGGTTAAAAAAAAAAAAATGCTGATGAAGAATGTTGCTAAAGTTTTTGTTGATTTGTTTTACGTTGGTGTAACACTCAGGAATACTGCTGTATTATTGCACTCAGGACGCTTTCTAAATGTTCGAATCACTGCTGTTTAAGGCGTTGAGATTGTAGTGCCATATAACAGATTATCTTTTTTAAGTAGAATCTATGTTTTGTTTTTATGTGAAACTGCCCTTACAGTGGGTGGTCTACCTCATTTGTTTTGCGTAATACTCAGTAAGTGTGTTTAAGTATTAGAGTTACACTTTTGCTGCCTTACCAATTAGTCTCCTTCCTGACTGTTACACCTGACTATCCGACAAGGCAGAGACTTTAAAGTTGGGACCTCTGTAATGAATGTTACTTTGCATATCGCATGGGGAGAGGGAGGGTTTGTGAAAACATATGGGATGGGTTTTACGGTATAGCTTTAGGCAATGTATTGGCATATGTCAATATTGCAATCGACCATCCAGTGATCCTGGGGCGAAATGAATGTCAGACCAGAAGTGGTTTTTCAAGCTGTCGGTCAGATTAATTTTTTTGTCATTTTCATTATTTTCGTCCAGCCTTTTGCTGGCTGTCTAAATGTGCCGATCTACCTCATGGTCTGCTACCAAAACTCATTCGAACTGCTGATGGTAAACCAAATATTTTCATAATACAGCTTTGGAGATTATTGGGATGAAATCAAAGCCTTTTTGCACTACAGTATTTACACAGAATTTCCAATAAAATGAATAAAACCCCAATTAAGGATGAACTTAACACCTTTCCTAAAACATGTTAATGTCAGGTTTGGGAAAAATAGAGAATATGATGGGCACATCAATTTAGATAATTACGATAAAACATTTGGTCAACACTATTTGACAAGGAAAGTCCGTTTTGTTTGTAGGCCGGCCCTCAATTAGTCGGTAGTTTTAGTCTTTTAAGTTTGGTGTCAAGTTTCTCTTATGTTTCCGGGAGCTTAATTAATTTCCATCAATGGCTGAAGTGTAAAAATCGTACTGACATTTTATAAAAACCTCAACTTGGATTTGATAGAATTCCAACAAATATGATACCTCATCACTTCTGATAAGATACTTGACCTGGACTGAGATACTGAGGGTCCAACTAGCTCTCCTCTTGATACTTGAATAAAATGAGGCAGAATCAAACAGGATGTCGCCAGTGGGATGGCTGGTGTTTTGTTTATATTCAGTGTGATTCATTTCTAGGTAGTTATTTAAGACATTACCTCCCTATGACCCTTAGGAGGGTTATAGCTCAGGAACACCAAGCCTGCACGGAGGAGCATGTAGAACTAGCTAGCGACTCGGCGATTTACTCCCGTTCTACAGGAGACGCTGACACGACTTTTACACCGAATTAATATATATGTGAAGTTATTCTAAAGCCTTTTAAAAAAGTCATTCTACTTATTTATTTTCATCCAAGAGTGCTGCAGCTTCCCCCTTCTGCTCCTGTTGAAGCCTCTCAGCAACCAAATGTCATTCAAAGCTATATGTGACATGAGAATATATTTGGCTAACACATTTTAACATCCAGGTACTTGTATTGCTGTGTACAAAAGTGCTTGATAAATCATTGTCCTTAACAATAGTTCAAAGCAGTATTGAACAGTAATATATTGCAACGCACAAGTAACATTATACAGTCAATTATGTGCAGGTACATAGTATTATGAGGAGTGACGGTAACTGTGAGTTTGTTTTTACTTTTTTTGCCTTGTATGATTTTTCTTTCTTTAATTCTTTGTTTTTTGTTCACAATGAGCCTCTCAGAAGAGAGCCCGTTGTTATTCTTATCTATGCCAAAACCAATGCAATGTTACTCTGCACTAATCATGTGTAAGATGCATTAATTAATTTTTGTATTCATTTCAATCTTTACTTTCAAATATATGTTGCATATTTTATATTGTATTTTTTTAGATTTTCATATACCACATACAGTCGGTCGCTGGTTGGTTGAAATAAATAAAAAACCCACTCCTAGGCTCCCCTCAGGAATTGCCAATCTGAAAACTCAGGGAATGCTTCAGATTGATTAGAAGGAGTCGAGGAGTGTTTATTCAGGAAAAAGTAGAGACCGAATGTTCATCCGCACGATGTGAAGCGTATGATAAAGATGCCAAAGTAAAAGGGGGTTTCGTAATGTGATGGTGCAACAATTTTGTTTTACCTTTTTGTAAGAAAAAAATAAATAGGATTGTGGCCCAAAAAAACAATAATTAGTGAAATGGTCACGTTGAGATTTTTATGCGTGACTTTTATACTTTGTCATCTTTCCATGCCTCCCGTGTGATGATGATCTTATGTTCTCCTCTTTGACCTAACCTGCCGTGATATGACATGATATGAAGAAAATGTTCCACTATTATTGTATTTTTTCCTCTATAATCGTTGTAGATGGGGATGTAGTAGAATATTGTAACGGGGATGGGGGCTAGTAGTATATAATCTGGGGTTGTCTCATCTCAACACATGGCCAAGACTTTAGTGTTTCAGACTATCAATGCTTAAGACAAAAAGAATGTGTCATGGATGAAAACTAAAAAAAAAACTTTCCTACTCTGCTGTTAGGTGATGATATATATACGTTTAATACCTGATTTAAAAAAAAAAAAAACAGTTTTGAAGACTACACTCAGGATTTGATTGACAGAAAGATTGTTAAAGTGCTCTGATTAGATAGAACGGTTTACATTTCTGTCTATTTTTATGTTGAAATGACCTTTTATGATTGCAGTGCCAGTATTTTCTCTAGCTTGAACACTTTACTTTCTCTCCATTTAAAAAGGGACACACATGGATGACTTTGTGATCAATCTGTAACTAACCTTGTTTAAAATCCCCGAAACCACTGACTTGGATTCTGACACCCACTGCTTTGATAAAGGTTGAATGAAAGTGTTGTATTGTAATGTTTGCAACACTCTGCTGAACTTAGTGGTGTTTTCAAAGTATCATTTGGAAACTAATCCATTAGAAGTAAGTCCGTTCTGACTGCAACAAACCTGTTCGACCCCTCAGTGGTGTGTGATTGTGATTTCAATGTGGGATGTTTAATGGGTCAGATATACCTTGAAAATCCAAGGATTTGTAAGACTATGTGCTCAGGGAGACATTTGAAGCACATCGAAGCATCCTGTACCACAGTTTGCGCTATGTGTGCTTTTCATGGTACATCTTGTTTGTGACCATCAGCCATTAATCTGTGGTGTTGTATTTTATAAGATTATTGGCTAGAGCTACTTCCAAAAAATATGTGCATTTATTACTGATGATTGTATCAATGTTTACTGCCATGAAACTACGTCTATCTTGATCTATCTTATGTTGATTTAATGGCTAGTTTGTCAATGATGAGCAGCATGTAGGCTTTTCAAAGTATTACTGTGATTACGTTTCTATATGTAAAGATCTGCTCCATTTCCTAGTAAATATGTCAATATTCATGTGTCTTGTGTCTGATTTGGTTCTCCTGCTCTTACAAAGAGAAAATCCTTGATTGAAAATATTTTTCAACACATTTTATCGGCAGGGTGTATTATGGTTTCAAAAGTAAAAGTACTCATCGGCAGACTGGCTCCTTAGGATGGAGTCAAATTGATTTCTCTATAGACCACCCACACACATTTATTAATGAAGGCAATCTTTAGAACACAAAATGGGCCTATTTATAAAATGATACCAAGCATTTCATTGTAATGATGTGGCAGGTCCTTCAGATTGAGATGTTTATTCTACAAGTCAGTTTGAATGAAGCTCAGCGCAAGTTCTTTCAGGAAGACTTATATATACATTCACTCCTGTAGTGGCACATTTTATATGTTACCTAATATGGTCAAACCAAATGCAGTTGTTCCATGATGTATTTCAGTTTATGTCCTTTGCTAGACTTATGATTAACCTTAAGAGTATCTGGGTGACAAACACAGACATGTCTTGAACAAGTTCCTGTGTTTGTTGCCTGTTCCACAATGAGTTCCTGATTTCCTCACTTTAACCAGTTCCTGATTTACTATATTAGCAATGTACAGTTTATGTTCCTCTGGAAAGCAGGCGTAGCTTATCTCTCCATCCAGCCCTGCCACAGTGAAAGGTGACGAAGTCTTGTTGAACTGTCAAGATCCTATAAAACCTACACACACACTTGCCTCTGTGTGCACTCTTCCAGAATACTCTGTACTCTGTGAGACCTGTACCTTCGAGGCCTCGAATAAAGAACCAGAAAGACAACTCTGTTTGTTTCACCAGTTTATTGATTGATCATTCTGATTTGTATATCTCCACAGTATTGACTATAGGTCTAAGATTTCCTTAACACTCCGCAACTACATATAATCAGCTCATCACGGGCGTTGTCTATAACCTATTACATTCACCTCATTCTCCAGACCAGCAGCCAATCACTGAGCTGCAGCCAAACTTTAAAATGGTTCTCCTCTCTCCTGCGGTCAGCTGTGATTTCAGGTGTTCATGCTGCCGCCCGCCTCCTCCCCATCCACCTCCTTTCATCATATCCAGTGCCAGGATAGTTAATCCAAAAACCTCATCACACCTCCTCTTCATCCCATCTCCTCATCAAATCCAGATCTTCAGCATCATCACCAGTGTCTAGACCCCGGGGGGTTCCCTATATGCTCACGGCTGCATTTCCCCCTCTACGATTTCAGAATCGGGGTCTAATCGCCAACGAGTCGACTTAACATTTGTCATATGACATGTGTCAATAAATGTTCTTAAAATAAAATGAGGTCTCTCCTGATTGAAATGCTGAAATATTAAAATAGCAATACACTTTGAATTCAAAAAATAATAATTAAAGGTAAGCCATAATTAACATTCAAATATTGCAGTGTAAACGGAAGAGACTGTGCTGGAACTTTAACAGAAAATGAAGGCCAAATACGTAAAACCAGACTAGTCAATTCATCCTTTGAGTTCTTTATCAAGCAAAATAACACACATTAATTCATTAGAAATGAGAATTGACTGCTTTTCACCTTAAACTATTCATTGTAGCCTACATGTATTATTTATTTGTTTGACATACATAGATATGAAGATGAAATCACGAGTCCTACATTTTTGATGGCATCATAACAATCATGATAAAATATGTTTTAAATAGTTTAATCCAATCTAAATCCTTCAATTGTGTTATTCTATTTACAATTTCACGTGTTGCAGTCTTATAATACTTCCTTGTTAAATGTACTGAATGAAAAGTATTTAGAAGACTTCCAGGAAATACACCACAACATGGATCCGCATTTGAGTGAATATGCTGAGTTTCATTACCCCGGTGTTGCAAATAATGAGAAACGTTGTTACTTCGCAGTGAATACTCAGAAAAAACACGAGTTCCTCTTTTGCTGGTACTCAACCAAAAGTACTGTGTCTTGCGAATACCAGTGTTTAACCACAAGAGGCGCTGTTCTCTGTTTATGTTTCAATGGCACAACCTCAAATCCAATATGGCCGCACAGTGAGAGGAATGCTAACATCGAAGCATCGAACCACTTGGACGTGTCGGAAATAGGTTCATTTCTCGAAGCTTCAGTTACAGCGACCTCTCCTGGCGAAGGGCAAGGCTGCAGTGGGTTTTATTATAAAAATATTCGATGCACACACACACTAAGACTGAATATCATGTTCTATTTGCAATTAAAGATTGATAATTGTGTGTATTGGGTTATTGAGAAGAGACTAGAGAGTGATGGACATTTTGTTTGGGAGGAGAGGGCCTTTTATCAGTTATTAAAGTTGAAAAACAATGATTAAAAGTACATCCTTTGCTTTGAACCAGCTGCGCGGAGGTCATCGCATGGGCCGCCGGCTGTACCCACTGGGTTATCTATTCCTTTAAATATTGGACTGTTTTTATATTAATGATTATTGTCTTTATGTTCACAACTTTTCCACATTTCGAAGTGTTTCCCGAGCCAGAACTACCTATCTTTCTTCCTGGCTTGCTCGATAATGATACTACAATTTCGGATGTCACGTGATTTGAAGCAGTTGCTGCTTCTGACGTCATATGTCACGTGATTTGACGCAAGCTTCGAAGCACTGCTTCCATGAAATAGGAAGGCCAGGGTTGAAGCTCCGTTCGAAGCTTCAGTGTCAAACTGCCATCACTAGTTCAAATGATAAATAGTTTGGCTTAGTGGGGGTTATTTGTCTATTTAAGTGAACTGCTGGGTTTACAATGTGGCTGCCCTTTCACACAGTGTGTTTAGGAAGTCTGACAGTGAGCAGAAGAAGCGTTGCTGCTGCTCTTTTAAAATGTTCAAAGCACAGAGAAAACGTGTCTCTTTTCAGTCATTCAGCTGCAGCACAAACATGCAAGGCTCTTCAGTTCAGGAACCACGGAGACCCTTCTAAAGTCGTACAGTAAGTCCGTTTAAATAAATGCATTGTTTATATGACATTGACACATGTAAATGCAATAGCTACAGTTGATATGTGGCTTGAGATGCTCTGTATTGGAGGTGGGGCGAATAAACAGGCGTGCATTTCCCAAAGAAAACGTGAAATATGCTTTATCAAAAATGATTTTCAAATAGTACTTAAACTTTTTAAGTTCTGAAGATGAGGATTTTAGTTTTGTGCCTTCTGCTTAAAACTAATTAGTGAGCGTTATAGCTAAACTGAATACAATTTTATTTAGGGCTTTAACGAGCAGCCTTTTTCATTATTGATCAATGTGTTCATCAATTGTCTAGGATTTGTATGGTATGGAATATCTTGGATACTAAGCCTGCTTTTTCTTAAATATCTGTATGATTTAGGATTACAATTTTCCCTTTTTAAGTTGCCAATATTTATTTGGTAAGACATGTTACACCAGTCACCTATTGATAAACACCAGGGGCCACATTGGAAAGATTTCCTGTTGTATCTGTGACAAAATGTGATATTTTTCGTACAAACCTTAAATGACTATATGTATACAAGCTTCAATACATGCAAGGTTTTTTTTGGTTGTCAGGTTAGAGGATGTAGATCTGCCCCCTATAGGTGAAAATGATGTTCTGGTTAAAATGCTGGCAGCTCCAATCAACCCAGCTGACATCAACATGATTCAAGGTAACAAAACAAAACCAACAGTAAGAATATAACCAAGAAAACCAAACACATTTTTTGTTGTTGAAAATGACTTATTGAGTATATTCCCATCAGGTACTTATGCCATCCTCCCTGACCTCCCAGCTGTTGGGGGCAACGAAGGCGTGGCCCAGGTGGTAGAAGTGGGCCGCAACGTAACCTCCCTAAAAACAGGAGACTGGGTTATTCACAAAGATGCTGGTCTAGGTAAAACAACTGATTTAGACCCCGGCCACACGAGGACGAAAACGGCTAAACGCATAGGATTAACGCAAACGCAATCGCAAACAAGCTTCCGTCCACACGCAATAGTTATCCGGATAGTGTCTGCCCACACGAGACAGCTCCGTTTAGCTCCAACTGCTGGAGAAGCTTCAGTACATATGCAGGAGCCTGTACGTGGCGCTGTAACTTCCTCCACAAAAGCAGCGAAGAAGCATGGTTGTCATGGTTGCCCTTCTGTGTATTCTCCGCGGTGGGGGCCGAGGGAACCGGGCAGAGTTTTTCGCCAGTCAACTTGTATTAAAGTTTAAATCTTCTGACAAAATTATAAAAGTGCCGGTCAAAGGTCTTCTTTGTTATTTATTGAGCTTTAAAACAAATGAATAATGACTCTATATAATATAATAATATAAATACACGGAGCCTCTCTTTTTCCTCCCTCTCTTTGGACAGCGCCAGTGTCTGTTTCATGCAGCAGCTGATCCAGTAATGAGTGACCCGGCCGACAGTAAAAATAAACATATTTATAACTAGTTTAGGTAGTTTGAGAGGTGTCTCCGGCCTGTCAGATTAGACTTCACTCGCGTTTATGTCCATATCGAGAGAAAGATAAATAATCTGAATTCAGTGTGCAGTTTACTTTGACGCGGGGGTGAGCAGCAGAGGTGGGGAGGGGCGGGGCTATTGCGCAATCATTATCAGAAAATGATCGCTGAAGCTGCAGTACATATCCACAAAAGCAGCGAGTAAAATCCCCCCCGGATGTGTAAGTCTGCTGTAGATGTTGCACAAAGAACTGTAGCATGGTCAGTAGCGTCCGGAGCACGATAGCAACTCTGCGATCCGCCATTGTTGTTGTTGTTGGTGGCGGAACACATCAGCAATGGCGCAGGGTACGCGGAGGTGAGCAGCAGAGGTGGGGACAGGCGGGGCTATTGCGCAATCATTATCAGAAAATGATCTTATAGGGCGCACACACGGAGCTGTTTGACCCCCCAGAGCGTTGCGTATGCCGTTCTATCCACCTTGGGACCCGTTATCGTTTCCTCAGTCGTTTAGTGCCGTATGCGGTCGTCCTCGTGTGGCCGAACGGTCTATATGACACTAAACAGTAACGCAAACGGCCGTTTTCGTCCTCGTGTGGCCGGGGCATTAATCACATGAATAAATCCACAGTGTCACAATTGTGTCTTCAACATGATCTCTTAAGATTTCTGTGTGTTTGTGTGAGCAGGCACGTGGAGGACAGAGGCGGTGCTAGCAGAGGGCGATGTCATCTCGCTGCCTAACGATATTCCCTTGCTGTCTGCTGCAACCCTGGGAGTGAACCCCTGCACCGCCTTCAGGATGCTCTCTGACTTTGAAGAGCTCAAGCCAGGTATTTATCTCACCAAAAAACATTATTTTCTTTAAAGATTCACACAGATAGAAGCTAGAGATATTTTACAAAAGTAATATTCTACTTTAAAGGGGCATTTTGGGTGCAATTGCATTTTATTCAACAAGTGTTTTTTTATTGGCTATATGTTTACTTGACAAAGGTCCAAATAGGAACAAAATGTTGTAAGTAATACATTTTTGTTGATGGAGTAAGTGTTCAGGCCTTCCCTTTTCCCTATTGATGCTGTTTTTTTAGGGCCTTGTGGTGTGTTAGTAATTGATCTTCTCCAACTCATAACACCAACTCTCAGTCATAATGTAACTACCCCCATTTTTAAATATTCAATTTTCATTTGTTATCATGTGTGTTTCAAACCAGAGTAGTTCCTACTTTTCAGTCGGTTAATTTAAAGTCACTGCTTTGGGAGGCTGTGGCTCAGTGGATAGTGTGCTGGACTTTGAATCAGGGGGGTAGCAAGTTCGAGTCCCACTGCAGTCAGCATGTCGTTGTGTCCCTGGGCAAGACACTTCACCCCAAATTGTTCCTGTGGGGATTGTCCACAGTACTGAATGTATGCAAGTCGCTTTGGATACAAGCGTCTAACAAATGACACGTAATGTTTAAATGTATGGACTGGGGTTTGAAGTTGATTAAGAAAGAATTCTGCACCTTCAAAGCATTATAAACCTGTTAAGTACTGATCTGGAGTAGATCTGAGTATGCACTAATCCTGCCTCAGTTATCTCTAAAACACCACACGCTGTGCAGCTGTGTTAGTCATCTTGTGACAGTTTTCCTCGATGTGTTGCTCTTGCAGGCGATTCTGTGATCCAGAACGCAGCCAACAGTGGAGTCGGGCAGGCTGTGATACAGATTGCTGCTGCGAGGGGAATCAACACTATCAACGTCGTCAGAGACAGGTGACTCGAGTATATCATGTCTCTTCACAAGCTAAATGTTTCAGTCCTAATCACTGGCTCAGGTTATCAGTCTTAATAACTGAGATAATGAGGTGTTTTGTCCAAAGGTAACGGAGAGAAAGAGTTGTGTGTGTGTTATGAGTGTAATGAACTTCCTAATTGTTTCTTCCTTTTCAAAGGCCAGAGTTCACACAGCTCAGTGATAGGCTGAAGGCCATCGGAGGCACTCATGTGATCAAAGAAGAAGCGCTGAGGCGGCCTGAGATGAGGGAACTGTTCAAGGTCTGTGGGTCTGAAGAAATCTTGGGTATTTGTTGACAAACACTGTTACTTATCATATAATAATGGGTTTTATTTTTGTTTTAAGACCTGCCCAAAGCCTAAACTGGCGCTGAATGGAGTCGGAGGCCAGAGTGCAACAGAGCTGCTCCGTCATCTTCAGTGAGGATCACCTTTATTGGCATGATAAAATATCTTACACTAAAGAAAATATCTGTTTATAGTATGCCACATTGCCTATTTTCCAAGATATTTTTTACACACTAGCACTTACTCATTTCTAAATTAATGTCTGTTAATAATTGTTATTTTGGTCTTAGTTGCTGCTGTATCTACATTATACGTCTTGTTATTAGTGTTTTACTTTTTATCTAATGTACAGTACTTTTATCTCCATTTGTTGTCTTTATGTGGCCTCTGATTTGCCCTTTGGGGACAATAAAGCTTAATTGATTGATTGATTCCAGGTTTGGAGGATCTATGGTGACGTATGGAGGGATGGCCAAAAAGCCAGTCACTGTTCCTGTGGTAAGATGAAAGCTTGTACGACCTCCTAGGTTTAACATTACATTTGACAGAGAAACTGAACTTAACTTGTTCTCTGCAGAGCGCTCTTATTTTCAAGGATGTGAAGGTTCGGGGATTTTGGGTCACACAGTGGAAGAGAGATCACTCGAGCGGTGAGTTGGCGTTACATTTCTTCTTTCGTGAAATAAATCTTGAAGACTAAATTGAATGATATGACATTTCCTCTTAGATGGAAGGGCCTTCAAAGCCATGCTGGATGAACTGTGCCAGCTCATCCGGCAGGGGAAGCTGACGGCTCCTGCCTGCACTGAGGTCAGCCTCCAAGACTTCAACAAAGCTCTGGACGCAGCTATGCAGCCGTTCACCTCGGCTAAACAGGTCTTCATTATGTGAACAGACCAACTGACTAATCACTTCACTCTCATGACCAGAGTGTAACCCGAAGACTACCACATTATTGTTAATGTGTGAATCAAATACACTGCTCAAGCACATAATCAATAAATGTGTCCTCACAACAGGCTCAAAGTCCAGCATCTTTCACGTTATGATATTTTTTATTTTACCGACAGGTATTATAAAGCTATGTGGTATAACAGGGAGCATTATAAAACCAAGATAATGCAGCATATCAAATGGTAAATGTTTAATTGTTTCTGAGTTATATGGGCATGAGTAAGTGCTATTGTTATTCATTAAAATATTTACTCTTGCGATAATACTGATATTAACGTTGCATTGATTCTTGCTGCGAAAAAACATTCAACCAATAAGAAACAGTTTAGGCCTTTTTCTGGTTTTATTAAATATAGTATAGTTTGACAGGGAAGCAACCACAACAAATAAAACTAGGTCAACCAAAGATTGCTGAAGCCAAAGGTTGCTTTTCCCTGGTTAAATATATTTAAGGCGTGACTCACCTGAAATATAGATGTCATGATTTAAAACAAGAAAAACATTTCCTGTGATGTTAAATATTTACATGACCTCAATTATCTTGAACTTAAAAATCAGTGTGTCCATTCAATGACTCCTTGAAGCTTCAATAATACATTTTAAACATCAGTGATAGGTCAAATATCATTACCAATTGGCGAGCAGCACACTTACAGCCACAGAGAGGACAGGATGCAGCCCGCTGTAAATGGCAGCTGCCCCTTCTGTTACCAGGCAGCGTTCATACCTGTCAAAGTCTACCTCCCTGGCTGCACACACGTGGTCAACGCGGCAGTCGCTGTTGCACTCTGTCAAGTCGTAGTTGACAGAGTTGAACTCATAGTACTTCTGAAGGTAGATGCGGTCAGAGGCAATGCGCTCCAGAGCCTGATGCATGGAGGCCGGGGAGGCGTCTGGCAGTCTGAAGCTCTCTGTGAGACGATACTCCTCCTCCCAGCGCCCATCACCTGCATTCGCGCGAGTCAGGTTCAGATAATAGGTCACCACATCCTGTTTAAGAAATAGAAACCGGAGTCATAAGAGAGATGTGTTTTTTTTCTGCAGAAGGTTTATATTGCAGCTACTACATGTAAAGGGAGGTTTTGCAGACTGGCTGTGACTTACTTTGACAAGGAGTGTTTGGGTGTCATATTCAAAGACACGAATCCCAGGGTTGTTGGCTCCATCCAGGACTCCAGGGAGGGATGTTTTCCAAGGTGTGACACCTGGGCTGAGGAACATCGTACTGATAGGAGAGCCTGTGGAAACAGAAAGGCCATCACCTCAGATTATCACAATAATAAGCACATGTGAGAATCACTGTGCATCACATTGAATGCATTAAAGAGTCAAAACTAAGTAACCTAAATACAAACCAAAGAAGAAATGCAGTAGTATTAGTATCAGGGGTGGAATGTTATCTCACTCCATTTTGGAGGCTAATATTGTAGCTTCATTTTACCTCCCTTACTAACTTACTAGTTATTTTCAAGTTCAAATGAATAAAAGAAGAAAGCATATATCAACTGATAAAGTATGTTGCATTATTATAGGTTAAGTTCCCCAGCCCAGCAGTATATCACAAAGAAAATGCCTTTTACAAAGGAGTGACAAGTTAAACTTAAAGTACTTTAATTACAATATGATGCTTATTCTTTTGTACCTTTGTGAAAGTAACATGCAGGATTTTATTTTATGACAACCTCAACTTAACAAAATATGTTAATACTTCCACGACTGAGCAATATAACACAGTCCATCCTTACCCGTTGAGTTGTAGAACATTCGGAAGCTATCGGTGTGATGATGGCCAAAAAACTGTCCCATTATGACTGAATGATGCCTCTGAATTAAATCCAGGTACAGCTTGTTGAATCCCGGCACAAACCACGGCTTATTTCTCTTCTTCTCAAAGAAACCTGGGGGGACGTGGCCAATGATGTACACCTGGGAGAGAAACCGATGTAGAGTTGGCAAAAATAGTCTAATTTCATGTAAAGTAGTTAAAGATCAATACATCGTTTTTGCAATGCTTGAGTATCTTGTTGTAAAAGTAGATCCATTTCCTGTGAGATAATTACTCATACAGGGGATGTAAATACAAAATATACTTCCTAATTACCTTGGTAACCATGTTAAAAAGAGGAATGAGGTTTTTATTACTTATTGAATGTTTTTTGCCCTTTAAAGGTGGGGTAGGTAAGTTTGAGAAACCGGCTCGAGATACACTTTTTGTTATATATATATCAATGAATATCTTAAGTGCTTTGACAAAAAATCCATTAAAAGAATTTATCTGTGGAAGCCGTAGTACTGTAAAAAGCACGACCAATCATTTTAGCCGGCCCGGCTAAAATAACTGGATGGCCTACCTGCCTGTCAGCCTTCCATCTGTGCACAAACTTGGTCTTCATTGGTCATGTGCGCGTTTGTGTGTGTTGGAGGAGTGGCTCTGTAAGGAAGTGGCAGATTTTTTCCGGCTGTGTATTTTCAAATTCTAGCGCACTCGAGCTGGTTTCTCCAAAATTACCTACCCCACTTTTAATCTGTAATTCAAATTTGACTTTAGATAAAATGTAACCCCTGTTGCAATGCAAAGGTAGTAAAGATGCTTTGCCTTTTCTTTGTTGTTGGCGGCCTCTGTAAGAACCTGATCCGCCCAGGTAAACTGTCCCGCTGGGTCCACCATGTTCTTGGTCTTCTTGTTCTGGTCATAGTAGAGGTTTGTGTTTAGTACCAGAATCCTGAAACCCGTTCGATTGAGCAGCTTCTCGGTGTAATATCCACCTATGTGGAGAAAAGATTTGCAGAACATGCATGACACAATTGGACGTGTGCTTTTAAATGCAAAATGCCATGTGATTTTATCAGGAAGGCAACTGTTTATATATCCAAACAACAAATCTCAATGTATTATTTACAAGAGGCTCTGTCCACCTTTTTTAAAAGTTTCCTCGGACGCTGGATCCAACCAGGCCTGCCAAATGTCTGCTGTTTGGTCATAGATGTCATCTGGGCCTGCAGGAAGCTGGCTTTTAGGGTGGAAGTCATGGTTGCCCAGGGCAGAGTACACTTTAGTGTCTAAGGAAGGAAGGGGTGTAAAGTATTCATCAATAATATCAGTTCATAAATTATACAAGTTAATGTTGGGTTTTTCTCCCAGAATAAACGAGTCCCTGAGGTTCCACTTACTTGGAAACACTTGACCTATGATGTGGGTAAGGTTGCTGATAATGGGAAGCACCACTTCCTCTCCAAGATCTGCGTGGGGTGTGTCATCTCTGTGCAGCAAAAGATAGAAGATACTTTTTAAGGATAAGATGCTTAAAGGAGACAAGTAAAAGAGGTTTTGGTTAAAGTTAAGACAGGTCTATAATAATATTATTTTAGTGTATAATTCATCCAGGTTGTCAATAGTGAATGCTATATAATATCATGAAAAATAAAACATAAACACGGTGAACCACATAGCATTTCTCTAAATGAACTTGGGACCCAACAAAACAGCTTAAAATGTTTTTCTATCAACCTCAAGCATATACATACCCTGTCCAAACGATGAAGTCCGGATCTGGTAGAATATCCTTCATGGCATACACAGAGGAGTTTATAAGGAGCCATGGCGAGTCACAAGCATAGTCTCCAAACTGTCCAGCATTGGCTGCGGGTCGTTTGCCACTTGATTGGCAAACCAGTTGAGGATCATCGCTCAGTTCGTAGGTCGGGTCCCAGTGCAGATCCGTGATGTGCCAGAAGTTTCCTGGATACAAACGATGCGTAATTGCGCACATTAAGTTGTTTCCCCACGATTACGTGAGTCTACCAGAAAACATTGTTCTACACCAATTTAACCAGGTTTCTTACCCGACAATGAGATGACGTCCTTAAAAAGCAGACACGATAAGAGCAGCCTTACTGTGGACATGTTGAAATAAGTGAGGAATGCAAAAGTCCGACAGAAGTCAAGTCCAGGTTTGAGAGGTAAGTCTATAAAGATAAGACGGTGTAATCATGACGCGTCTTCTGCCTGAAGGTGGTCCATTAACTAGCCTACTTTCTCTGCAGATTACACCTCGTTTCCTCTATTTCAGTTTTTTTTTTAAAACGTCAATGGGATTTGTTTTATGATTTAAAAGGAGAAGTGTGAGGTGTAAGACCTTTATTTGCAGCAGGAGAACAACTGTAGGCCACAATGAAGTTGTCAGACTATATACAAAAACAATGTATAGGCTCCAAAGATTTAATTCAAGTATGAATTGGGTAATGGCGATATATTTAAAGGCACCTGACACATACATCCCTTAATACAAACATGTGGGCTAAAGATAAAGTAGGCTAATTGAATTGTACTCTATGCTATGGCATATACATTATTAAGTTTTCAGGTGACCTATTGGGCTATCACAGCATATATGGGTGCACTTTTGTTGCTTTAGTTAGCGAGTAGAGTTTCCATTTTCCATTGTAAATAGTGTAGTAGTGTTTATTGAATAGCCTATAAAAGAGCATCTAGAGCAGTTTTGAGGTAGGCGTGCTGCCTTCGCAGGATGCACGTACTTCCCGGAGATCGGGTCGTAATATTGCTATTGACCTTATTGTTGAGATTCAAATGTAATATATTGGCCTGCATACGTAAAACCAAAATATTAAAAGAGGATATAAGCAGGCCAAGAAAATACTAAGCGTTGCCTCTTTTACATAGTATGAAACGCAATGTTTCCAACAGGACTTGAAGGCAGCACTGCCTTGGCATCTTACGAACACAATTCGTGCCCCGAACTTTGCCTTTTAGGCATTCCCTTCGGAAATTGATTACATCGCTCCCCAACAAGCTATATCAAAATACATTTCTAAAAACACGCGCTGTGTATGTTAAGGGCCGTTGTCAAGGTTAAGGTCCTCCGTCAAATCAACAATTGTACGTATCCAAACTGCCTGAGAGCCTAAAACCGAGGGGAAAATATCTCTGTGGCCGATTTGTGTAGGTTTCGCGGGACTTCTGCTACGCGCATGTGCAGTATATTGAGTTTAGCGCGCGAGACTGCTCAAGGAAGTCTACAGAACGACGTGCGGCTGTTGTCTCTGTTCCACAGTGTTTGACATTTTTGACATTTGACTTAATTTAGTTAATTAAACGTTGCCAGCATGTGGAATCAAGGTAAGCTTTATGTCCTCACTGTTACTTTGAGTAAAGTGTTCAGCTCGGTTTGTTGACGTTGTCTGGTTGCAGCTAACGTTAGCTTGACTACTAACATGCCTCTTTGTTGATGTGGCTCTGATGGGAATACACAACCATAACCTCCTTATCTAAGCTGATCTCTGCCTTGTTTTGTTTTCCAGGAGGGTCCAACAATGACTCAAGTACAGTTGGAGGTTACACTCAGTCTCCAGGAGGCTTTGCATCACCTGCTGCTTCCCAAGGAGGAGAGAAGAAAGGGGTTTGTACTAAAGCACAACATTGCTCTCTAAACGGCAACTTAAATGTACTATTTCTTACCACCAACACAAAGAAAACGTCAGAAATGTCTATTATTTTTTCCTTTTAAAAGTATCACTACCACATGTAGACAACAAATAATGTTAAAACTGATATAAAGCAAGACATATGGTGCTGAACATCAACCAATCAATGATACATTGCCCCTTAAGTTGTACATTCATATTTTAAGTTGGTTAAATTAATCAAATGGTTAGTAATATACTTCAAGTACTAGTTTTTTTACACATTAACTTTACCTAATTTCCATTGTATTCTTACTATACCTCTACTTCACTATCATTTAGATGCAGATATTGTGATTTTTACTCCACTACTCTCACTACATTAATTGTAAAGCTTTTGTTACTTTTAGATTTATATTCGTAATACCAGCCGTTAAAAACAATACAGCTTTACACTGTAAGTTAACCTACCCAACACTAAATGAAGTCATTCAAATGAGCCCTGCCTTAAAGAGCTGCAACGTTAAATCAAATAAAAAGTATAATCTAATAACATACAGTAAATGTTTCCGTCCTGAAGTGGGCCTTCTGTTTGATTAGTGTTTTGACAATGACTTGTATTTCGTACTTCTTGCATCATTGGATTTATACTGTATTTACACTATTAGCTTACTTCTGTGATTGTGTGTGTTTTGCAGAGAACTCGTGCCACACAGATAATCCCCTGCAACGTGTCTCAGCTGATGTCGGCCTCTCAGGCTGAAGAGTCCTTCAAAGTGGGCGATGTGGAAGTGACCCAGGTAAGTTGTAACCATTTTGATTTGATTGTCTCAGTAAATCCTCAAGGAAAAAATGACACATGTTTACAGCGTGTAGCTTCTAATGTGTGAGGGTTTAGTTCTCTTAAACCATATCATATTCAATTGAACATCTCGGGGTTGGACTGTTGGATAAATACGCTATTCAAAATTCAAAATGATGGGTTCTGAGGAAAAAAACGAATTGGCTTTTCTTTTTTCTGACATTTTAATAAAGATCAATCATTACTGGAAACAATCATTTGTAGCTTCTGTAGTTGTGAGATGATAGTGGTTCAAATGGTCGGTACTTTTCACTTCACCGAAAATGACTACAGTTCCAGGAGAATAAACCGTTCGGTAAAATAGTAAAAACGCCAAATTGGTGCATTTTTTACTTCTTTAAGAGATGGTAACTCTACAACCAACAGAGAGGCGAAGTCCCTCCCTTTCCGGGGGGGCTCCATGGGACCTTATTTCGGAAAGATTATGCATTGAAGTCAATGGAGAGAGAAAGATTATCTTTCGATCCCGTTTGAATAGTGCCACGAATTACACATATGATGTTTGTCAAAACAATTAAAATGTGTCGTAAAACTGTGAAGTAACACTTTTTTTGTGTGAAGCGCTCAATGAACTACATCTCCCGTCTCGCCCCACACACCAAGGCGGCCGTCACGTTGGTACTTTTCACTTCTTTCTTTCAGAATGAAGTGAAAAGTATTAAACGAGGTGAAAATCACTCCAAGTCTGGGCGTGTTGAGAGCTGTACACACACACAAGGGGAGTTAGTCGGTTCCGTAAGAGCCAGCATGCGGGACCGGGATTCTGGGATTTGTAGTCTTTCTAGTTGCGTATTTTTCATAGTCTTTTATTTCAACAGTTTTACGACAAACTGTGACTTTTTTTACATGGAAATTATTTTTTAAGACTGACAAACATCATATGTGTAATTCATGGCACAATTCAAACGGGATCCAAAGATAATCTTTCTCTCCCCATTGACTTCAATACATCATTTTTCCGAAATAAGGTCCCATGGGTCGGAAGCAGATGGGCGGGACTTCGCCACTCTATGTCTTCACCGCTATAATCATAATGTAACAATTAAACTTGTCGATCTCACTTTTGGATAACATTTCCTGTTCTGTGTCCTAGGTTACCATTGTGGGTATCATCAGGAGCACAGACAAATCCATGACCAACATCCAGTACAAGGTGGACGACATGACGGGCGCTCCCATGGATGTGAAGCAGTGGGTCGACACAGAGGTCAGTGACGCTGCTTTTGTCTTTGCACACAACCTTCAATCACTTACGAGAGCCGTAAACACTTGCTTTTACCTCTTTGGTTTCATGAAAGGCGAATCAAATGTATTAAACACGAGATTACTAAAACCCAATACCAAGAAGTCAAAGTTGGGGGTTTCCTGGTTCTTCTGTGGGTTCTTTGACAATTTTTTTAAGAAATGGGCTATTCTCATTTTTCAGACTCAATGCTGAACAGAAATTATGGTCCGCTTTCAGTTTCACCTTCTCGTCCCTTATAAATAACCTTAACTAGTGAAGACACACAAACACCAATGTGCATGACTGCATAAATGTAATGTGTGCAGTACATTATACATTGAAAACAATCCAATTACAACAGCGAAGTCAGCACTAACAAACTCTTTAAAACTACATGAATTAAGAATGTGAAATCAAGACCTCAGACTAAATTATATTGCGATATAATTGATGCTGTGGTGTAATCCCTCTTCTTTTGAAACAACTCTGCAGTAACTCAACATACTCCTTTTTAAAATAAGACATGGTTGTATTCTCACTTATTCAGATGGTTTAGGCATATCTTCATTGGTGAACGACACAAAGGAAGTCCCTTAGTAAGATGTGTGAATGTGTTTGGACAGGACCCCAGTGTGGACAGCACTGTTCTGCCTCCAGCACGTATGTCAAAGTGTCTGGAAACCTGCGCTCCTTCCAGGTGAGTTTACCATCCTCACATCCTCTCCACAGCAACAAGAAACAGGAACTTTAACTTTATGATCATTTGCTTTTAGATAAGCTTGTTTCATGAGCAGTGAGTTTTGTTCATGTTATTCTCTCAGAATCACAGATCTGTCGTGGCCTTTGGCGTCAAGCCCCTGGAGGACATGAATGAGATCACCTCTCATATGCTGGAGGTCGTTCAAGCGCACATGATGCTCGGCAACCCTCAGAGCCAGGTGAGCAATCTGAAGCATAAACCTCTGCTGTCTTTATTCATGGTGGAAGCAAAGCATAGACTGCATCAAGTATAGACGTAGCATCTGATACGGTTTCTGAAGAGGCAGCCACGCCTCTAGTGATGTGTCCCTTTTAGCCTTAAGATACCTTTTAACTAGGGCTGTCAGTCGATTCAAATATTTAATCGCATGATGTCCGTAGTTCATCGAGATTAATCCCAAATGAATCACACATTTTTTATTTGTTCTAAATGTACAGAACCTTACAGGAATATTTTTCAAGTTTTTAATACTCATTAACATATGAGTGGACACATATGCTTTATGCAAATGTTTGTTTATTATCATAAATACTCTCTGTCTCTCCTCTCTCTGTCTCTCTCTCTCTCTCTCTGTCTCTCTCTGTCTCTCTCTGTCTCTCTCTCTCTCC